TATTTATCTATATTAATATATAAGACAAATTCTAAAGACCCACAATTTTAGACCCAAAAATGCACTCACAATGATGTGGCAAAGGAGTTGGACCCTATATAGTATGTGACAAATCAAAAGTTAACACCTATCATGCACATCATTGTGGGTCAAATTAGGAAAACTTTTTTAGGGGTCTCAAACATTTTTCAATATATAAATGGGCTACACCATTTGAATCTAAGTTTTGAAGTTCAGTGGATTTTTCTTTACCTAAAATATCCATGACAAATGTATTATACCCAGTTCAGTTGAGTTATATCTTTATTGATTTCAAGGTTAGTTTATGGAAATACACATTAGAGATAAGCATACCTTATACCAAATTAGTAACTGAAATAGTTTCTCAATTTCTTATGCCTGTAACTGAATCAGTTTCTCAATTTGTAATCCTGAAGCACACTCTGACCCGTGACAAACCAATGATCTCTCCTTCCCACAAACACAAATCTTATTAGTTGCCAAGACATGAAGGTGGGGGATTCACATCAGCAACGACCTTGACGATATTGGCAACATCGAGGAGGACAAAGCCAGAAAGAATGGGGCAACAAATCATCCTACACCAAGGAAGAGTTTCACCCATCTAGCTTGGACTTCTTCAACATACAGTTTCCACAGGTTGAAGAAGAACTGGCCGCATTGGACACTCCCACTTATCGCCACGACTATAACTTTTCTTTTTGTTTCACTAAGTTTTAGTTGTTCTCAATGTACTATGTCAGCAGCTTCGTTGCATTTGAACTGGGTTTGCTTCTTAAATTATGAATAACATAGGGTATGTTGCTTTATCATGCTAATTTGCAGCATGATACAACTATATGTAATGCATATGGAAATTTTATACAATGTTTTTATTAAGAATTTAGACAATATGTGCATATAAACAAATATACATATGGAAAAAAAAAATTAAATGCCTGCCTGAATTTTGTTGTTCAAATTGGCAACATGAACAAGTTCAGATATATAGATATACGTGAGCATAACAATCTGTTACATATTTGGGATTTAATTGTTTTGGGTTTTTAATTATTTTTAAAATTTATATGGTTTTGTATTTTTTAAAAATAATAATAAATAAATAAAAACAACCACCACCAGTTGGATATATGAGTTTTGAGTTGTGATATGTTTGTTTGTTTCTATCTTTGTAATGTGATATTGACTTTTGGGATAGATGTTTGGGTGTGTGTGTGATAAAGCCTTAGGAAAGAAAGAGGAGAGAAGAAAAGAGGGGAAGAAGAAGAGGGTCCTAGACCTAACACAATGGCCACAGCCTAAAAACTCAATATCTCATTGGTCCAAGCTGGAGTATAAAATGTAAACCCTAACATTTATAAGTCAAGAAATCTAATCAAAATAGGAAACTGAATCCTTATTGAATAGGAAAGCAAATATTAGTAAAAATCATAACCAAACTAAAACTCCTAATTATGCTATAATTAAAATAAAATACAAAGATAAATTAAACAATAAATATTAAAGACAAAATTAGAAAATATCGTGCACAAATGTTCCACGTAAATGTGGGTTGGGGAAGTTAATTTTAGTTTAATTTATATTAACATAGTTGACAATATAATAGTAAATGCACACACGTGTGTGCCAACCTTGCAATATATTATAAATCCATATGAAAAACACCCATATTATTTCAATCACATTGTGGATATATAAAAACACAAATAAATAACAACTGATGAGACAAGTGGCAGCATAATACTGAAGTCTATAAACGGAATGGCAAAGATGCTCCTAAGGCTCAAGTTTTGATTTGGCATGTGTTGGATGATGCCGGGCCCACATGGGAACTAGAATAAATTAATTTGAGTCTTTCATTTATTTATATTTATGTTTTAGGGTCAAGGGTATTTTTATAATTTGCAAAATTTCTGAAGCGCGTCTCAATAAAGGGTCGTTGGGTTGACCCATGGGTCTTGGTATTGATTTAATATGTTTATGAGTCTTATTTGGTATTAAATAGGTTTTAGAAATCAAAGATTTTGTAGTAGTTTTAATAGTATCCTATTTTGGTCCTAATTGGTTAAGGAATTCTTCTAGTCCTATATTAGGCAATATATTGCTTCTAATAAAAAAACAATCAGAATTTATATAATTTTCAGAGTTTTGAGCCTCTTTAGGGTTTGTGTGATGCAACCCAACCCTAGGGTCCCGTTTGTTTTCAGAGGTAGAATGGAGGGGATTGATAGTGAGGGGATTAAGTAAAATTGTGTTTGTTTTGATGATAGTAGTTAGTGTAGGGATTGTTAAATTATTTTTATATAAAATAAATATAAAATAATAAAACAAATATAAAAAATACAAAAACATTAAACATTAATGTTTTAAAAAAAATACCCAACATGTAAAAAATTTTAAAAAAAATAAAAATAAAATAAAAAATTTCAAAAAAAAAGAAAATAAATAAAATAATGATTTTTACTTAACAAAAAATATAAAAAATTAAACATTAATGTTCATGTAAAAATGCTCGACATGTAAAAAATAAAATAAAAAATAAATAAAAATAAAAAAATTTTAGTCCGTCGAACTATTTTTCTAATACCAAGTCCTAGAGGCCCATCCGAATCCCATCTGCAAGGCCTATCTTAAGCTGTTCAGCTTGCTAGTCCCTTCCTCAACTCTGTAAACAAACAACACATTTAATGGGGCCCACAGCTATCCTAATCCCAATCCTCTCCTTATACCCCAAAACAAACGGGGCAGGTGTGATGCCTAAAGGATTTGGTCCTAATTGGTTAAGGAAATCTTCTAATCCTATGTAAAGCAATATATTGCTTCTAATAAAAGAACAATCAGAATTTATATAATTTTCAGAGCTTTGAGCCTCTTTAGGGTTTGTGTGATGCAACCCAACCCTAGGTGTGATGCCTAAAGGATTTTAGGAGTGATTCCTAATTTTCTTCGTCTTTTTTCTCTTTTCCTATTGCCTCTGTTCACAGATTACGACTTCAAACCCATAAACAGTCTTTCTTCTGTCACAAATTCTTGTTTCCTGCCCAAACCATTCATAACAAAACCCTAACCACCCCTAACTTTATTTCACAAAACCTAAACCTAAGTTAGCTTAAAACTTGCTTCAAACCTGCGTGTGCTGCATCAACAACATTATCAAGATAGCAAACACACACAGCCACAAAATAAAAATTCAAGAACTAATCATCCATGGCATTTTTCATTTATTAATCGTTTAGAACTCCATAATTCCACCATTTGACATCATATAATTCCACCAAAAGTTCTCTAGTTTTATGCTATGATATGAATCTTATGAGCCATTTTTTTTAAAAACTTCTCAAAATAAACCCTTAGTCTCTTTTTTTGAAAATCACAAAATGACCCAACGTGTTCTATGATGTGTCCGAACATGTCCAATACATGAAACATGTCTGATATTCAAAAAAATTCAGACACCTTTTGGGCATGTATGTGATGTGTTTGTGTCCCTAATATATTAACAAATCTATTGTACATGCTTCATAAATCATGAACATATAATATCCCCCTACATAGATAATCAAGACGATAGCCACTAAAACGATGTGCTTTGTGCATGTAAAGCACTCGAATTGTCCCAAACAACAAAATAATAACAACAATAGTGATAACCATCAACCTTCCAGAAGAGAAGATGTTAACCCAAAAGGATCGTCTTGAGGGAAAAAATATATGAAAGACAACATTTATGGTTAGAAATTAGGAACCTGAAAGATTCAAGAATAGCAGCAATGGTAATAGACGTATTTGTCAGGGGACATCTCATTTGGTGTCTTGGTTGGAGAATAGGCTCTTTTTGGTTCTTCGTAATTAGGTTACGGAATTGGTGGATCCGGATGTGTTGGCCTTTGTAGATTTTGTGGACGATTTGATTTCTTAGTTTTCCGGTCTGCTGTGGGCTGTAGTTTTTGTTTTCTTTGCATCTTCTTGATACTTTTTAATAATATCTAACTTTATTTATCAAAAAAAAAATGGAGTGCAAAGTGAGATGATTTAAATCAATTGAAGGAAAATTGGAAAGAATAACACAAGTCGAAGTTTCCATAATTATTTATTTAAAATTATAGGTTCCACAGAGAATAAGAAAACTATGAAAATGCATCAATTGAATAGCATGATTGTGTTCAAATTCTAAGTTTTAATAGAATGAGAGGATATGCAACTTGCAAGTCAAGTTGCACAGCTGAGGAGCTGATGGTTAGTTCTAATAATGCCACTAACAAGCCACGTAACTCACTACATGCACTTTTTTCTTTTTTGGTAAGTCAAAAAAAAATAATAATAATTAATAGGAAAACTGCCAAAGAGGCACCACCCTTGTACAAAATGAAAACAAAGCAACAGAAAACTATCCTCTACACTACCCCCCTTCTCAAGACTCCATAGAGTCAACAATCTCCAAAAAGAGGATCAGAAGAAGGGGTTCACCTTATCAATGGCCCAACTAGACAAAAGACTCAAAAACTTGCTCCTTTTAACATGCACTAAGGTCTCAATCCAATCAAAAGACTCAGTTTTTCTTCTGCAATATACACCACATCAGGCATAAGGGTGCCATCTCGCACACCTGAACTCTTGTTTTGATCATTTTTATACATCTAAAAAGTAAAATAGCTCCAATGGTGATCTCTGGAAAACCCAAAAACACCAAACAAGGTAGCATTGGTCTCCTTAACTCCATCACCACCCCACAATGAATAAGGCGGTGATCCACTGACTCCCCACCTCCTTGCACACACAACATTAAATTGGCAGGATATTTCTTCTCAGAATAGATCATCAATTGTAAAAATTTTCCTTTTGCTTCCACTCCGCGACAAACGCAACCTTAGAAGGGGCTTTGGGTTTTCAAATTCCTCTTCAGTACATATGCTTAAAGTAAGAATCTTCACAGTAGAAAAAACTAGCCAGACAACTCACTAGTCACTACATATACTTACTTGCATGGTTTCCCATATTGACATTGTCCATGGCCTCAAAATATAACAACCAGAGATATCATAATAATATTCAATCATTTCACCACTAACGACCACCTGCAAAAAGTCAAAACAAAAAACATGTGCATAAACCATCTGCGTAAGAAAGTATACATGTGAAATCCCCTAGGAGACAACCCTGGTGGCTTAGGCCACATTCCCCACAAATAAAGAGACTCAAGTTCAAGTCTCCTCAACTTACCTATCGAAAAATATATATGCATGCAACCATATGTGCGCACAAATAAATGAAAGATAGAGAAGACTGAATGCAACACTCAAAAAAGTAGTGTTTCCAAAAGAGAAAGGAAAACTGAAATTTTGTCTTTAGTTGAAGCATAAACTCAATGATTTCGTAAATAATAATAATAATAATAAAAATCCTTCATTGCATCATTATTCATTACGAGCACCCCTATGGCCAGTGTATGACAACTATAAATACCACTATATCCACAATTTGCAACTACTGGACCGCCAGAATTTGTTTAGTCAGGTACTAGTGCATATTCGTGACATGGACACTTCAAATTCTGTTAGGTACCTTGGATGGACACAGCATTACTTTCTTTACCATCAAGTTACAAAAAGAAATGGGATTTTTTTTTCTTCTGTGCTTCTTAGAAAGTGATTTCCAAAATTGCAACCAGATTTTTCAATTAAGTTATAATAGAGAGATGTCAACAAGTTTGGTTACGCAAAGCTTCTAATAAGTGCAAAAGAAAAAATACTAAATTCAACAGAAAATGTAATTGATACCTCGGAGTACCATTCCCCAAAATTCTCATCCTTCTTGTAGAAAAGCCCAAGCCCAGTCTCTTTTTCACCTCCCTCTTTTTCCCTCCTGAAACTCTCAAGATTTAGGATTCAGGTCAACAAGAATATGCTATCTATCACAGATGAAGACGATGCAACTAATTAGATCAGTGTATGTGAGAGGTAGGAAAAAGAATCTCACCACTCTTGGCACCAACATTAGTTTTCTTAGCATCATTGGAAGCCATATCCTTCGATTTATATGAAGGAGACACCCGATAGCCTTTTTAGAAGAAGAAAAAAAAGTCACATCACATCCTCCATTACAACTATAGTTTCTGAATAACACAACACAATACATGCACGGATACGCAAATTTAAAACCACGGTACGTACAGATCAACATAAATTGAAAATTAGAAACAAATAGGATCAATTTACCACATAAACAAAATACGCTAGGTGGGGATCGAGGGGAGAAAGAGAGGCAGAAAATGAATAGATAGATAGACAGATATACATACAATACATGCATATATTCATATTTATATAAAATTTAAACGAGAAAATGTAGAGCAAAAAAAACAATGAGGAGTTGATATCAAGGGGTGAAGGAAAGAAACTTAAAATTGCCTAATATTGTTCTCCCAATCACAGAAAGAGACTGAGAGTAACACCTATAGCAATGGCTGAATTTGCAGCTGAAACAGATGGTGGAGGAGGAGGAGGAGGAGGCGGCGGCGCAGAAACAGAGTAGAAGCTAGGCTAAGCTATTATAAGGGTTTGGCAGTTTGGGGATTCTTTCAGTCACGCAGTCAACTGCGCTTAAACGGCCCTTTGTGATCTGTTAATAATAGCTTATCACCCATAATTATAAATATTTATATTTGTTTTAGTTTTTTTTTAATATATAAATTATATTTTTTAAGAATTTTTATAAAAATAAGTTAACAATCTTATTACTAACTATAGTGTATAAGAGAAGTTGAAAAGGATACTGCAGTAACTATACACAGATTGTATTTATAATTATTTGTATGAGGGGATTTTAAATGCTGATTAAGGGATTTTGACTAAATTAATAAATGCAGGCATGTGGAAAGACATGTGGATTGAGAAAACTTAATAAATTAGTCAATTAGCCAAAAAGTTACTAAATTAGCCAAAAAGCCAACAACTCATACCAAAAAGTCAAAGATTGTCTTTTCTCTCTACTTTTTGCACATCTTTTCGTAATTAGTCAAAAAGTCATCCCAAACATACAAGTTTTTTTTACCTATCTTTTTAGCCAAATAGCCAAAAAGTTACTAAATTAGCCTGTTCCCAAACGAGGCATAAATGTCTTTTTTTTATTATTATATTATATTAAAGTTTAATATTTTGATAACAATCATATTTGTTGGACTTTTCAAGAATTTTTTTTTATACTTATTGTTAATGCATTAAAGTGTTATTATGAGAGATAATAATCATATGTGTTGGCACTTTCAAGGAATTCATATGTGTTGGATTTCAAAGAATTTTTTTTATGCTTGTTCTTAATGCATTAATGTGTTATTATGAGGGTAAGACTTGGGAGTTGGGAGAAGTTAATACATGCTAAGATTTTATTTATTTTTTTAAATAAAAAATCATAAAATTTAGATTGGGAAATTAGAGCTCCCACAAGACTTGGGGTTAAAAACCTCCTTTTACTTAATATATAGTATAGATTAGAGCACTGTTGGGGACCCCAGTGGGGGATGAGGTGCTTTTCCCATATTTAGTCAATTTATCATCTTAATTCTCAAATTAGATTTAGTTTGGACGGAATTCTCAAATTAGGATAAAGTATTATTACAAATCACGCTTTCACTGTTTGGGATCGAAAATTTGATGAACAATGAAAGCACTATTAGAAACCACGCTTTTAATTAAAAAAACGTAGTTGCAAACCACACTTTTAACATAAATTTTTTTTCTGAAGAAAATGTGGTTCCAAACCACGCTTTCACTGTGCATGTTGTTTTTTGAAGAAAGCGTGGTTCTAAACCACGTTTTCACTGTGCATATTGTTTAAGTTTATTTTCTGAAGAAAACATGATTGTGAATCACGCTTTCAATGTTCAGTAAAAGAAGTGTGGATTGAAACCACACTTTCACTGTTCATTTAAATTTTTTTTATTAATTTTTTTTTTCTGTTGTCATTGTTTTGGTGATATTGTAATTCATTAAATTTTTTTTTCTTTTGTCTTTATTTTGGGTTAGAAGGTGTAATTTAGAAATTTTTTTTGTCTTTACTAAAGCCGTTTTATGTAAAAAAAATTTGTTTTTTGTTTTGGATTAGAAGGTGATAATGTAATTCATAAATTTTTTTTTGTTTTACTAAAGATGTTTTCATATTAAATTTTATTTTTTTTCTTTTGTATTTGTTTTGGGTTAGAAGGTATTATTCATAAATTTATTTTGGTTTTACTAAAGCCATTTTTATTTAAATATATATATTTTTTACTTTGTCTTTGTTTTGGGTTAGAAGGTGATAATGTAATTCAGAAAATCGGTTTAGTAAAACTGTTTTCTAGCCGTTTTCATTAAAAAAAAAAATTTGTTTTCCTTTTGTCTTTGTTTTGGGGTAGAAGGTGATATACATGTTCTACAGTCCGAAACACACCCACACACTGTGTAGTTCGACGAACAACGACGAAGGGTGAGACGAGAAGAGCACCGCGGAGTAGGCCAAGAAGACGAAGGCCACCGCGAGAGCGGCAGCAAGAAAGAATAAGAGGAAGATCTCAAATTTTGGTGAAGTATTTTTTACATACGAATGGTACTTTTTCCGTTTTTTGCTATGTAATGTAACTTGTATGTAATTTGAATTCTGATTACGAACAGGAACTTATGTAATGTAAATATTGGGTTGGAGTTGATGTTATTGTGATTCAATTGGTTTCGCTTATTTCATAAGACTGATGTTGTGTAATGAATAAATAAATGTAAAGGTTATTTGTTTTATTCAATTGGTAGTGTAGTTTTTTGTAAGAATGATAACGTTATTTGTTATATTCAATGAATAATGGTTACTGTAGACACCCCATTTTTGACCGTCCTCAAGACTTGGACGTCACCGCTTGAGCACTCGGTGATCATCCATGTTTGTGTTCGTCTTGAGTTCCCGGAGGTCTCGGCTACGCGCCTTGCCTCAGGATCTCTCGACTCGACTGTTTTGTGTCTGGTTTTGCACCAAACACTTGTACTTTGCCTTAGAGGGGCAGGGAATGGCTTGTGGGCCATCCCCACACTCCACCGGCCATGGCTTGAGGCCACCGGCTGTGTTTGGTTTCCACCGGCCAAATGTTTGGCCGGCCGGCACTATAGATGGTCGGCCGGCTATCTTTTGTTGGTCAATTGCATTTTTGGCCAGCCGACTACTGTGCATCTGCTTTTGCAGATATTTTTATGCAGCTGGCATACACTATCACCCCCTCCATACGTGTATGGAGGGATTGCCCTCTTGTTAGCTTCCTTTGGAAGCTTTACAAGACTAATTGTCTATAAAAGAGAACCTCTTCTCTCTTGTTCAGAGGTTAGACAACTTAGACAATATTTTCAGAGGGTTCTAGTTTTAGGGTTTGAGTTGTGTATCTATCCTATATCTATATCTCCCTCTCTTTTGTGTTTTGTGTGTGTTTTGTCTTACTTTTGTGCATAAACACCCACCATCACACCTTCTTTTAACTACTGAGGTACTAAGAGGCTGTTCTTGAAGTTTTTGGCTGGTTTTGAGCTTAGAGAAGCTGCTGGAACATTGTTTGTGAAGAGGGTCTACAAGGGTAAGACTTTTGTCCCTTTTTACCCCATTTTTGCAAAGCTTTTTAGCCTATCTTGCATCTGT